AAGTGGTCCTCCAGATGTTTTGGGATTGCACCCAAGACACCTATTACTATTGGTACTATCTTTGCTTTCTTTTGCTACAGTTGTTGTACTTCTATTTTCAGATCTTTGTATTTTGTGATTTTTTCCAGTTCTTTCTGTTCTATTCTGCTAAATCTAGGGTGTTATGTGGCAAGTGCTTGTCTGTTTGAATTCTAAAGTCCCAAAGCACTTTAGCGTCTTCATTTTCTATTACTTTCTCTATTTTGTGGTCCTACCAGCTCTTGCTTGCAGGCCAGTGGTATTTCTTCCAGATATTCCAATGCACCATTGTTGCTACTTTGTCATGCCATTGTTTGTAATCAGTCTGTGCAATCTTCTTGCAACAGCTAACTGGTGGTCCACTGTTTCTTTGGCTTCTTTGCAGAAGCAGCATTTGCTGTCTGTTGCTGTCTTCTCAATTCTGGCTTTGTATGCATTTGTTCTTAAGGCTTGGTCTTGTGCAGCCACAATTAGCCCCTCTGTCTCTTTCTTCAGCTTTCCTGCTCTAGATATTAATCTCTCCCAGTCTATCACCATTGACCAGCAACTGTGTCTTCCATTGTCCATTGATCTTTGCACAAAGTTGCTGATGTTTCTACTGACTCCTGTTATTTCTAGGCACTTGATTATCCAATCATATGGCAAGGAGTCAAATGTCTTCTTGTAATCAATCCAAGCTACATTGAAGTTGGTCTTCCTTCTGTTGCAGTTTTCCAAAATAATTGTGTCAATTAGGACCTGATCTTTTGTTCCTTTGCAGTTTGGGCAGTTTCCTTTCTGCTCAGGGGGAAAGAGCATGTTTTCAACTAGATGCTGTTGGACTGCATCAACTATAATACCAGCTAGCAATTTGAAAGTTGTTGGTAAGCAGGTAATTGGCCTGTAGTTGCCTGGTGCTGCCCCTTTTGTTGGATCTTTCATTATCAGGTAGGTTTTGCCAGATGTTAATCAATCTTCAATTTCATCTCCTTGCAGTAAGTTGTTAAAGTGCTTGGCAATGAGTGGGTGCAAACTAGTCAGATGTTTCAACCAAAAACCATGCAGTTCAACTTCACCTGGTGCTGACCAATATTGATCTTCCTTGCCCTTTTCTCCACCATTTCTTCTTCTTCATCATCATAAGAAGAAAATGAAGCAGAGAGCTTGTGACTATCAACTCCTCAACTCCTCCATCAAGAGGAGCCTCTCTGCTCAGTTACTGGAGTGTACTCCTCTGGTTTGAAATTTGTATTGTCCAACCTTGGAGTGGAAAGGCACTTTAGAGACTGACAGGCAAGAAAACATGATGTCAGATTCCCCTTCTAAGTCATGTTCTGAGTCATGTTCCAGTGTTGAGGCAGAGAGGCCAAGCACTACTATTGCCACAGAACTGCAGGATAAGATCATAAATGTCCTGCCGAATGTCTCTATTTGGAGAGATATTTAATTCTAAAATTGTTCAATTTTTAGAAGATATTTTATGCCCCTCCACATCCATCAGGGATCAAAATGTTTTTAGAATAAACAGATCCTTCTGGTAATCATTTCTCTGTCCAGCTCCTCTTTCCTGCTTTGGGATTTCCAGTCTACCTATTGTCCTTCTCTTTTCCTCATCCTTTTGATGCTCATCTCCAACATCATGATATGCAGGTATACTTCCTCTATCTAAATTTCATTTACTTCTCTCCATGCTTTATGCTTTTTCTCCAGCAGTTTGAGAAATTGAATTTCTTGCCTCCTCTCTCTCTTTCTTCCCCTCATTCTCTTGTTCTCTTTCCAATTCCTGGCAGTTTTTTTCTGGTTCTGGAATACTGGGACTACAACTACCAGAATTCCCAGGCAAAGTTTTCAATGTAATTTCCCCTAATTTAATATTGTTTAATTGGCACTTTTCCATAATGAACATATTTTTGTGTGCATTTCTTTGAATTGCAGACTTAATTATGCAGTCTGGAAAATGTGGATTTTTATCACTATAGTATATTTTGTTTCAGTCATATGTTTGGAAATGAACATTTTGTAACTTTGCATCAACACGTGGATTGAACAGATTTCTCTCCATTCCTGTTTTCTTGCAGAACTGGAATCTGGAAGATTGTTGCCAGGTTTGAAGATAATTTGCAGGAAACGTTTGCCACTGAATTTGAAATCAAGGAATATGGTATTATAACTATGGCCAAGCTAAATACATAAGAAATCCAAAAGTTTACTTAGGATGGAAACGTTTAATGGCAAGTCCTTCATCTGAACTTATAGATAGATGAGTGTTCAACAGGAAGGGAGAAAATGAATATCAAAGTTGAATCTCATTTTTTTTTTCTGTGCCACAGAACCTGTTGTGAGACCTTGTGGCTGAAGTTGGGTTCCATGGAGCAGCTGAGTTTCTCACTGCTGTACTGGCCTCCCTGCCCCGTGGCAATATTCCTGCCTGAGCTGGATTCCATTGTTGGGTTGGCAATTGACACCCTGAGGTTGACAGTTCTTGGGGACTTTAAGTTGCCCCCATGCAGTGTTGAATCTGAGGCAGCTCAGGAGTTCATGACCACCATAGCAACTGTGGACCTGTCCCAAATTACTGATCAGCTGTTGAAGGTTACACATTAGATTTTTTTTTGTCCCCTTGGAGAGTTGAGACATGATCTGAAGGTGAAGGACATTGCAATCAGTTCTTTGTCATGGTTAGATCACTCTCTGATTGCTTTGCAGCTTACCTCTGCTATCCCCCTCCCCAGGAGGTGGGACCCATTAGATCGTTCCACCCCAGGCACTTAATAGAGCTGGAGGATGTTCAGAGAGTGCTTGGTTTTTTTTCCCAAGGTTATGGTGAGCCATACATCTGAGGCCTTAGTTTCTCCCTGGAATGGGCAGGTGACAAGGACCTTGGATCAGATTGCTCCTATACAGCCTCTTCTGTATGTTGTTCCTGAGCAGCTCTTGCTTCTCTGAAGATCTCTGAGAGATAAAATGTCAGAAGAGATGCTTCTTCTTTGGAAGAAGCATAAGAGTGAATCTGGCCAAGCACATATAAGAGCCCATATTATGGATTCTATTATGGGGATATTTCTCTGCTCTTATCACATCCATTGATAGCTAGCCAGCAACCCTTTTTCAGGTAATCTACTCCTTTTGGGGCACGAATGAACCTTTTGAACCACTTGGAAATATATTCTAGGCATCTAGTGGGCAAAGTTATCCAGATTTGTTTGGAGCTGGACTCTGAGTGGGCTGGTTGAATGAGGGAGGCCTTCCAGGTCTTGTTTGGCTGCCTGGAGAAGATTGATCTTATAACTTCTGAGCAAGTGGATGGGTTCTTCTAGACTGTTAATCTAGCCACCTGTTGTTAGATCCTTGTCCCTCGTGGCTTGTGAAGCCTGTTCAGGAGGAAACATGTGAGGGAGTCTCTTTGTGAGAGAGAGTAGTTCTACCAGGCTTGAAGGAGGAGGTAATGTGCCCTCTCCTTAAGAGGTCATTGTTGGACATAACCATCCTGGACAATTTTCACCCACTCTCCAACCTTCCTGTTTTGGAGAAAGTGTTGAGAAAGTGGTCAGATTGGAGTTATGGAGGACACTGGATGGAACAGATTATTTGGAACTTTTTCAGTTGGGTTTCAGATCTGGATATAAAATTGAGGTGACATTGGTCATTCTTACTGGAGGTAATGTAACTGTCCTGGCCCTTCCAGTTCTCCCAGCACATCTTGATACCATTGACTGTGGTATCTTTCTGGCCATTTGGGGACAGGTATCATCAGTATGCTGGCCGACCAAATGGGACTATCAAGGTCTTGTTCCAGTGCCTGGAAGCTTTTGGGGTCTGGATGGGGAGGAACAAGCTAAGGCTTAACCCTAGCAAGACCAATTTGACCCTCCCAGTTCTGGGGACTTTCCACCCTTGGTTCTAAATGTGGTTGCACTGTTCTGTTTAGAATTAATGCACAGTCTGAGACTCTTCCTGGATTCCAAACTCCTGCTCAAGGGGCAGGTGGCAGCTGTGGCCCATAGACCTTTGCACAGGTTCAACTTAGTCATTCATGCCTTGGATGTCCTGCAGGCGGATTATTGCAATGTGCTTGATCTGGGTCTGCCCTTGAAGACCACCCAGAATGCAACAGCACTGAGCAGTAAAGGGCAAGTTTCACTCTGCCCATATAACACCCCGCTACATGAGGTGCGCTAGTTTCCAGTGGCTTCTGGGTGCAATTCAAGGTGCTGGTTATTACGTATAAAGCCCTAGCTATTTGAAAGATCACCTGTCTCCCATAGTGCCTGCCTGTCCTGTCCATCACTTCTGTCCACTCCTGCTTCAGATCCTTTCAATTAAACAATATCACTTAGTGGGAACCAGAAAGTGGGCCATCTCTGTCATGCACCTGCCTTTTGCAATCCCCCGGAGATCCATATGGTCCCTACCTTGTCTGCCTTTAAGTAATCTTTTAAAAACGGGGTTTTTTTTCCTCAGGCCTTGGATTGGGAAGTTTTGGGCAGGCTGGTTTTAGTTGAGGAGTGGGTGGATAATGTGGAAATGTGTTACGTTGTTCTTTCAGACAATTATAGTTTTTTATGTAGTGTTATTTGTGAAGCCACCCAGAGTTATTTTGGAGTTGGGTGGCCTAGAAATTTGATGAATAGATAAATCATATTGAAAAGATACAATAGAAATCTTGCAATTACAATGAAATTAAATCATACACCAATTTTATAGCAATTTCCTTAGCTTTTGTAATGATAACGCGTTCATAATTCTCTTGCAAATATCCAGGACCATGAACAAGGATATATAGGTGAGGCTATTACAAAGAATCTAGATGGCTGCCTAACAGTGCCTTTTTCCAGGCCATTTAGAAGATCCTACTGTGCTTAACAATAATGTTTTTACACCTTTTGAGTTGAGTTTCTTTTCCAACTCTTTATAGTGTTGCCAAACTTCAAGGTGACCCTGGAGTCCCCTCAAAAGTTTTTTTATATTGACGACAATGAACTGATCATTGACATCACTGCCAGGTAGGCATCTTTTTAATTCTTCACTGCTACTGAATAAAGGGAAGAAGTAATGATGACAGAAAGTGTCTTGGTTGCAAAGTCATGTAGATTCCAGCCAACACTCTTACACAGATTTCAGGTCCTCATTCATTGTTTTAATACTGAATATTCTTTTTCCCTTGTGCAATATATTTGTGGATTTAGAGAAAGTGCATGATAAAATGTGAAGGTTTGAACTATGGAATGTGTTGTACAAATAGGGAGTTGGCTGTTCAGTGCAATAAGATCGGTGTAATGGAAGTTACCATGAGTGAGAATCAATGGAATGCTTAGTGAATAATTCAGCACTGAACAGGGAATAAAAAAAGTATGTATGATTTCCCCTTGATGTTTAATGTATTTATGGATAAATGTATAAGGAATGTTTATGATGGTAATAAATGTGTTGGTTGGGGAAATGAATATGCATGTACTGTATTGTATGCAGATGATGCTGTGTTGGCTGAACACCTAAACTGTCTGAACAAATGTTAGGTAGATTGTACAAACTAGGAGTATGGATCTGAAAATTAATGTATCAAAAACCAAGGTAGTTGAGTCTGATAGGGAAGGCAGAGTGAATAATTATTGTTTATTCAGCAAAAAACACCCTGAATAAAATATATGAATTTGTGAACCTTGACAGAAAGTTTATTAAAGATGGGAAAAATGGGTGGAGGAATTTCAACATTTACAAATGCTGGTAATAAGGTAATAGGTAGGTTGTAATCTGTTGTGATGAATGTTTATTGACAGAAGTAAAAATGGCATAAGGGCATGCTCCTTTCACTTCATTATGTAGAATGAAAATTGGATATGTCAGGAAAAACATAAAAGTAAGTTGAATGCAGTGGAAAAGGAGCACTTAAGAAGTGTGTGTGATAAAACAAGAAGAAATAGGGTCAAGAACGAATGAGGGCTGAATGAACATCAACTGAATACAAAACTGAATGGCCAGTACAAAAGAAACACTTTGAGGTGGCTTAGTCATGGTGAGGGAATGAATAGGAATTGAATTTCAAACAAATACATGGAAGAAGAATGAATGGGTTAAGAGAAAGATGGTTGGATGGAGTTCATATAACCCTGAAAAAGAGAGTGGTCAGAAGTTTAAAGAACAAAAGGCATGTGTGAAGCACTGTATGAATATGGAAATAAGACTGTTTTGCAAAGATTTATTCATTTATCTAAACAGTTTGTAAGGCTGCCCAAAGGTGACTCTGGGCACCATACAAGGGTTAAAACCACAACAATAGTTAACAAATACCTGAGGCCATAAACACAATCCAACTCATAAGAATAATGTGACCACATTAACCAGCAGAGTTCACCTAACCACAAGCCTGGGGAAACAGATAGAAAGATATGAAGACATATAATGAATGTTGTTAGTGTAAGCTAGAGCTGATTTTTTCCCCTATCATTTGTCTTTAATTTCTTTGCTTTATTATATCTTATGCCTTTTCTGTACTCTGCATAATACTGCTTACCAGAAAAGGAATAGCATGATTGATGCATAGTAAGGATGTATGTAAGGATATACTTTGCAGCCAAAGATGGAGAAGCTCTATACAGACAGCAAAAACAAGACCAGGAGCTGACTGTGGCTCAGATCATGAGCTGCTCTCTGCAAAATTTAGGCTTAAATTGAAAAACGTAGGGAAAACCACTAGACCACTCAGATATGACTTAGATCATATTCCTTGTGAGTACACAGTGAAGGTGATGAATAGATTTAGGGGATTAGAATATACTTTGCAGCCAAAGATGGAGAAGCTCTATACAGACAGCAAAAACAAGACCAGGAGCTGACTGTGGCTCAGATCATGAGCTGCTCTCTGCAAAATTTAGGCTTAAATTGAAAAACGTAGGGAAAACCACTAGACCACTCAGATATGACTTAGATCATATTCCTTGTGAGTACACAGTGAAGGTGATGAATAGATTTAGGGGATTAGATTTGGTAGCCTGAAGAACTATGGACGGAGGTCTGTAACATTGTACAGGAGGCAGCAACTAAAACCATCCCAAAGAAA